CAAACGGAAACAACACGAACCGTTCAGGCCGAGAACGAAAACGAAGACAGACGAGAGCGAGCACCACAGACGAGAGCGGACGAAAACACCGAAGACAGACGAGAACGAAAGCCACCGTTCAGGTCGAGCCCTGCCTACAAGCGTGCACGGTCCGATGCAGCAGACCCCGCCCCCACAGTACGGCGCTAGCGAAAGCGCGGCCTGCTTTAAGGCCGCGGGACGTGCCAGCCGCGAAGCGGTTGAGGCGGGCCCTCAGGAGACGATGACGATGATGGCGGCAGCGGTGCAGCCCCCCCCATTTTGCTGCTGCGCTGGCCGCACGCTCCTCCCGCCGGCGATGACACGCCAGGCGGGTCCCTCCTTCCGCCACGCGAAGCGGGCCTCGCCGCCGGTGCCGTAGGACACCGAGGCAAAGCCCAGGGTGGGTGGGCAAAAGAGGGCCCCTTTGGGCCCTGGGAGGGCTTTGAGCCCCGAAGGCTTGAGCGGGAGAGAGGAAAAGGGAAGGGCAAGCAGAGGCAGGAGCAGGGAGAGAAGAAACCCAAGCCGACTGGGGAGGGCGGGGTCCAACCGTTTAGGACAAACAACTAAGACCCCGCCCCCACAGTACGGCGCTAGCGAAAGCGCGGCCTGCTTTAAGGCCGCGGGACGTGCCAGCCGCGAAGCGGTTGAGGCGGGCCCTCAGGAGACGATGACGATGATGGCGGCAGCGGTGCAGCCCCCCCCATTTTGCTGCTGCGCTGGCCGCACGCTCCTCCCGCCGGCGATGACACGCCAGGCGGGTCCCTCCTTCCGCCACGCGAAGCGGGCCTCGCCGCCTTTGTTCTATAATACTGGTGCTGCTGCCAGTGCCCCCGCACACTGGCCGCCTGGCGGGTTCTACGCGCCGGCGTGCTGTGTGGGCGCCCTGATGGGCGTCGCCAAAACTGGGTGCCAGGCGTTGTGTTGCCGGCACCGTCTAGGCACTGAGTCACGCATCGCCTGGCGTGCGCGCCGGCGTGCGTGTGGGGGCCCGACTGGCCCTCTGTCTGCCGACTGCCGCCAGGCAACTGATGCCGGCGTGCGCGGCTGTCCTCCGTGAGGCTAGGCCTTGGGCTCGCGCCGGTACCTTGATTGCCGGCGGAGCCCGACCTCGGGCTGAGGCCCGAGGGTGTCGTCGCTGGCGCTTGGCGCGGGCCAGCACTTGGCGTCCCCGTCTGCGCCGCGGCCTCCAGATCTCCCGGCTCCCTGCCTCCACAGGTGCCCAAAGTGCACGGGGCGGGCAGGGTCCGGCCCCTGACAGAGGGGGTTCCCCGGGCCGGCGCTGGGGTGCGGGCCCGCGCCTGCGCATGAATTCGAGCGCTGCGGCCACCCGGGCCGTCAGACTGCCAGCTACTGTAGCACAGCTGGCGTCAGTATGCCCGGCACGCCCAGGCTTGGCATGGAGAGCCGGCGTGCCAGGCGGGTTCCAGCGTGGTCCTCGTCCAGGGCTGCAAGGGGACCCACAGTATCCCAGGCACTAGTGGGGCCCTGACGGACGGACCTGCACGCATGCTTTTGCCGTGAGGTATTAGCCAGTGCTGAAGGCACGGGCGGGTGTACCTGCGAGCGCGCGGCTACTCGCCGGCGGGGCAGGTGGCTGGTGGCTGCATCCAAGCACGCACGGCGCGAAGCCGGCGGCTTGGGTTGGGCGCGCGCCAGGTGCGTAAGCACCGGCGGCGCCCGCTGCGGCCTCTCATGGGCTCTCACGCCTGGCGCTCTCGGCGCCGGCGGCAGCTCTGCTGGGGGCGCTGTCCTTCGCCGGGTTGGTCAACGAGGAGTTGTCCCTGGCCATCTTGCCGGAGATGCCCTTCATCGGCTCGTGCGACTCCCACAGGTAGCCGTGGAACGCGTCCGACTGCCAGCGCCCGAATCGGCGCACTCGGGAGAGGTCCTCGGTCACGTGGTACATTGCAGTTGCCCCGCCGATCCTCAGGGAATGGCTGCCGATCTCTTCCCTGGAGAGGCCGGCGGCCAGCCCCGCGACCGTCAGGAAGTGCTGCACCTCTGCCCTGCGGATCGGTGTACCTGACGCCCAGCGGAAAAGGGGCAGCCGTTCCTCGGTGCCCTTTATCCGCTGAGGATGGTGAGCCTGGAGCCGCTCCATCGCCGCGATCGGGCAGAGCGATGTGCCGGCGCGGTAGTGGTTCCTCACCGTCCCGACGTTGAGCTGGTCCGTCTTGCTGCCCTTGATGTAGATCACCATCTCGTCGGCGTCCTGGAAGCTGGCCACGCGCTTCCCCTTCTTCTTGGGCTCCACGCCCTCCCCGTGCAGCGCGCGCTCGAAGGGCCACGAGCGCCCGTCCTGGAGGAGGTACTCTGAGGCCCTCAGGAGGAAGAAAAACGCTGTCACGATGGCCGCCCAGATGACCACTGCATCCTCCTCGGGGAGCTTGGCCTCCTGCTGGAGAAAGCCGCGGAGCCATTCGAGCATGGCTGGCGTGACGGGCTTCTTCCGCTTGGTCTCGGGCCCCTGCCAGCGTTTCAGCCCTGCCAGCGTGCTCCAGAGGCGGCCTCTGTGGAGCAGGGGGTCCGAGTAGCCAGCCACCAGGTGGGCGTAGCGCACCGCGAAGAGCTTCTGCTTGATGGTCCCCTCGGTCCTCCCGACGACCCGCGCTAAGAGGACGGCGAAGTTGATGAGCGCCTCCTCATCGGCCAGGCGCTCCTCGCGATCACGTCCTGGGAGCCAAGGGCTGAGCCCCTGCGCCTGGCGCGCGGCAACCCAGAGCCGCCATCCTCCCTCGTAACCTGCCCTTGTGCCTTCACTGAGTTTCTGCAGCATGGCCTCCATCTTCTGCTGCGCGAACCAGCCGGCGTAGTTGGCTCCGCCAGGCTCAGCGCGGCCGGCGGGGGCGAGCTCCTTCCCGGGGTAGTTGGTCTTCCGAGCTACGCCCAGCGCTTGCGGCCTCACCAGGTCGGTTGCTGGCATCTCTTTGGCACGCCGAGGGCTCTTTTTGCGAGGACTTTTCGAGCGTGTCACACTTTTATCCAGCTTGACCTTCTCGGCGGCTGGGGCCTCGCGGGGTCCGATGAGCGTGTCCTCGTCGATCATCTTGAAGCGGACTGCCTGGGCGCGCCGGCGGTTCTTGTGCATCTCGTCGGTGAGCGCTCCTCCGGCCCTCACCTCGTCCTCTGCTGCCAGTGCCAAGGCGGGCTGATCCGGTGCCTGGGCCCAGGCGCGGAACCAGCGCTTGGTGGCCTCCCACGCAGCTTGCTCCTCTGGATCATGGCACACCCCGGCCCGCTGCGTGCTGGTGCTGTCGAGCGCCTCTGTCACCGCGGTCAGCACTGCCTCCGCGGTCCTCGGCGGGAGCGCCCTGGCGGCGCCCTTCAGGAGTTCGTCCTCGGCGAAGCCCTGGGCTCGCAAGTGGGTCCACTCGTCGTTGGTCCCTCCCTGCACTCGCCAAACCTCTTGGGGCGTCAGGGCGCGGACCGTGCCTCCGCCCCCTCCGGTGACACGGAGGAGCGTCGCCCCGGGTCCTTGGAGCTCCGCCCCAGGCCAGCGGATTGTGCCCACCGGCCCCTCCTCGCTGTAGATCAGGTGCTTCGCTCCATCCTTCTTGAGGTGCCCGACCGGCTTGAGGAGGAGGGGGTCGCTGGTGGACTGGATGCGGGGGTCCCATGACACTTCGCCTTGTTGGTCGAGCCACAGGTGGTCCTTTCCCTTGTCCAGGAGAGGCTTGACGCTGGCAGCTCGGGAGCAGGCCGGCGGCATGTTAATGCACGCCAGGCCCACCCCCGCTTTCCGACGTCCGCCCACGAGCACCCGCCTGGTCCGCGTCGTGGCGTCCCCGTGGTGCGTGCAGACCACCTCGAACTTCGAGACCATGTAGCCCAGCTGCTTGAGTGCCTTCTCGAACCTGGCTGTGTCTACCCCGGTCGGGGCGTCCACGACCACCACTTCAGGGCTCTCCTGAGTTGCTGCGACGAGGAAAGCCTCCATCTCTCGGCCCTTGGGGTCTAGGGACAGCGACGCCATGAGCCATCCCACCTTCTGGTTCTCCTCGGGCTCCGATCCCCCGAGGCGCTTGAAGGCCTTCGTGTACGGGTTGATGAGACTCCCCACTTCTCGACCCAGCTTCCCGCGGAGCGGGAGAGCTCTCGGCAGTCCATGTCCTCGCTGAAGTGCTCGGTGTCGAAGGGCAGCCTCGGCCACGGGGCCCGTCTCTCCAGGGAGCCTGAGAAGGCGCTCCTTGGCGTCCTCCAGTATCTGGCCCCAGGCTGCGGGAGGCTCTAGGCGCGTCCACCCTGAGGTGGCCAGCGTGTCGTGAACCTTCTTGACCTCTTCGCGGGTAAGCCAGTCGGCCACTTCATTATGGTAGGTCCTCACGAAGAACGAGACGATGCGGCATCCGTGCATGGCTTCGATCCTTTCCACCAGACGTATCAGGTGGCGGGCCAGGGCGTTCTTGGGGCTTCTCTTGGTGAGCCAGGCCTTCACATTCTGGTTGTCCGTGACGTAAAATACCAACTCGCCTTCCCACTTCGAGCCCTGCTTCGTGGCCAACGCGACCACCGCCAGCAGCTCGACCACCGCTATGATCCAGCCTTCCTCGCCACTCTCGCCTCTGACCGCGTGACTCAGGGCCTCGAGCAGTGGTCCGGCGTCCGTGGCCATGTACTCCGGCGTCGGCGCGGCATCCCCTGCAGTTGCGCTCCCCCAGTCGATGGCACCGATCGAGGAGGTGGTAGCATCTCCGCCCGTCCACCGTGTGGTACGTGCTGTCCCTGGCAAGGCGAGGCGTTCGCGCACCGACAGGGCCTGCGTGAAGCTGGCCTGGAAGGTCGTGCTCCAGGCCTCCGGGACGTCGAAGAGCATCCTCAGAAACCCCACTGACGCGTCCCACTCCTCCCAGGCGAGCTCGACTTCCTCAGGCGTACCCTTCGGTTCTGCCCAGCTCGTCCCGCTGCTGAGGAGTCGGTCCAGGGCGGGGAGCTCGGGGCGGAGTGCTGGCTGTGCTGACGCCCAGAACTGGGCGCAGCCTCGCAGCTCTTGGGCGACCTTCAGCGGGACCCGCCTGGATCCTCTGAGCTCCGGGAGGGCGAGCAGGTACTGAGCCTTGATGCATTTGGGTTCTGGGAGCCTGACCACCTTCGTGTCGAAGTTCATGTGGAGGCCCCAGATCAACTGCTCTGCCGCGAACTCCCCCTCGACGTCCAGTTTCTCCTCGTTA